GCACAATTATTAGACTTTGAATGAAAAATTGTATATGGCCACGACCGGGACTCGAAGCTCGAACTTTCGAGAAATTGCTCAAGTTCGTGGCACACTGCACCAGGACTGAGGGTGCAAACACTCATTTAAGCACTGCAGAATTACGGTAATTTTAGGCATTGCACTCCAGAAAATTATTTCAAGGACATGGCACCGACAAAATATTTTGTTTGTGTCGTATTAGGAGTTTTACGGCGTTTACAACACAATTATTATTAGGTCATATAAGTGCTGCAGAGTAGAGGTGTTACAAGACATTAACAAACACAAAAAGAAAGAGGAGGGATAAAGACGATATGTGCTTTTTTTTTTTCCTCCCTTTTTTTCGAAATTTAATTTGTGTGAGTTCTGCTTGAGCTTTTAACACTATGTGGGACCACCACCACCACCACCACCATCATCATCATCATCATCATCATCATCATCATCATCATCATCATCATCATCATCATCATCATCATCAACTCATCATCATTATCATCATAAACAACAACAACAACAACAACAACAACAAAAGCAACAACAACAGCAACAACAATAGTAAAAACAACAGCAGCAACAATAGAAGCATCAATAGCTGCAGAAAAAGCTGAAGCAACTGCATCAAACAGCAACAACAGAAACAACAGCAACAACAACAACAAAGGAAACAAAGACACAACATCGAGGGAATTTCTGAGAACCAAAACCCCCCAATATTATAAGCACACGATCCACCTCCCAGCTCACTCACTCACACAGCTGCCCCTCTGTACCCCTCCTGTATATATTCTCCGCACAATTGGCAAGAGTTTGCCTCAAAAACCTAAGAATAGTTCTAGGTTCATAGACAGCCATTTGTCCCCAGCTTTTCTCTGACTGGTATTTTCTAATGGTAGCTTAACGACTTTCGTCTGTGCTCGGCTGCACGCAGATAAAACGCTTTTTGACGAGGTTTTCATAATGGGCCCAGCTGTGAAAACACAGAGCCTTCATTCGCGCACTGGCTCGTGTGCATAAATCTTGACGCGTTGAAAAGTGCGAGGCAAACAGAAGAGTGTCGAGGGTGTGGGGGATAGGGCAGTGAGTGGGGAAAAAGAAAAGAAGAAAGGATAAAAATGATTAAACTTT